AATGTGCCCAGTGGTGCTTTAGTATGCCTAGTAATTTTCGATTTTTTCGCAAGATTCACAGGATTTTCACCCAATTTTTGATATGACGTTTCATATCAGGCCATACATAACGAGAACAAATAAGCTTCGTAGTAGCTGCAATTCCTGGATGTGACAGATTATGCAGATGATTAAAGATGAGTCTGCGAAAGGAATTCGGAACAAATGGACGAGGAATGTCCGTTGATATGTCACAAAGAATATTACCATCAGAATATTGGCACGGTTTAAATTCCAGTTTCAAAGATGATGTGTTGTTTTTGAGAAGGTCTTGTACCTCCGGATCATGCCTTTGAGCTTCCGCAAATTTTTTAAAATCCAAAAATGGAGATTTTGTTATGGAATCAATTTCGATTCTTGAAAGAGCGTCAGCAACGACGTTTTTTGAACCTTGCACATACCTAATATCAGTAGAGTACTGAGAAAAATAAATCTAAATGGTCGCAATTGTCGAGGTGAACATTTATGAGGGTTCTGTTTAAAAGCGTATATTAACGGTTTTTGATCCGTATAAATTATAAAATTTCTGCCCTCTAACATGTGTCGGAATTTCTTAATTGCAGAATAAATAGAAAATAATTCCCTATCGTACGCGGACCATTTCTGTTGACTTTTTTATTGAGTTTCATAGAGAAAAATGCTATAGGTTCCCATGTTTGTTGAGACAACTGCATAAGTGTGCCGCCTATTGCGACGTCTGAGGCATCTACCCAGATGCTTAGCTGGGCTCCGGGAATAGGGTGTCTCAAAAGGGTAGCCTGAGCAATGGCATTTTTGGCAGCAATAAAGGCTTGTTCAGCATTCTCGTTCCAATTTAATTGTGGGGATGAATCCTGAACACGAGAACGAGATTTTCTTTTATTAATATAGCCTTCTAACAACAATTTTATTAAAGGAGAAAAGAATATGTGCTGCTTTAGGTATGAAACATCTATAAAAGTTAAACATGCCTAAAAATCGGCGAAGCTGAGTGAGAGTGGTAGGTTGAGGAAAATCTAAAATACATTTGACTTTGTCAGGAAGAGGTTCAATTCCGTTTTCACTAAGGTGAAAACCTAAGAAATCAATAGATGTTTGACCAAAGGTGCATTTTGAAACATTTATGCAAAGTCCATATTCCTGAAGTTTGGAAAATAAAGCTTTCAAATGCCTGCAATGTTCCTCAGAATCTTTAGAGGCTATGAGCAAATCATCGACAAAAGCGTAAACGCCTTCTAAATCCCGCGTGACTTCATCTATAAAACGTTGAAAAGTCGCGGATGCATTGCATAAGCCGAATTGCATACGGGTACTTTCGAATAAACCGAATGGTGTGCATATGGCGGTTTTGTGGATGTCGGCTGGGTTAATTGGTATTTGATGGTATGCCTTAATCAGGTCGACATGACTAAAAATTTTAGTACCGTGCAATGCAGCAGTAAAATCGGCTAAGCATGGAATAGGGTATTTGTCTTTTATCGTTTGAGCGTTCAATGCTCGATAATCTCCTACAGGTCTCCATTCCAGACTTCCCTTTTTTGGAACCATGTGAAGTGGGGATGCATAATTGCTGCTCGAAGGTCTCAAATGCCCCAATTGCATCATAGTTTGAAATTCTTGTTTTGCTATTTTTAAGCGATCCGGAGCTAACCGACGAGGTTTTGCAACCACAGGTGGACCTTTAGTTATGATATAATGAACGGTGTTATGTTTAACAGGTTGGTTAGGATCTGAAATCTAGTAACTGAAGGAAATTCTTTTAAAATTTTGTGATATGGTGTATCACTAAATACAGTTTTACTGAATAAATGCTTGCATTTTTTCACGCAAACCGACGGTTTTAAAAATGCGTTTTTAAATCTTTGAGACATTTGTTTCTGAGATCAGGCACCAATTCAAAGAAATGGAGAAAATCTGCTCCAAGAATGGGTGTACTAACATTTGCTATAAGAAAAGTCCATGTAAACTGTCGTCTTAATTTGAAATCCAAAGAAAGTGTTTTTTGACCATAAACATGAATAGTAGAAGAATTAGCAGCGAAAAAAGTGTTTGTTGGGACGAATTCCGTTTTTGAGAATTATTTGCTGGAAGTAAGGACACGTCAGAGCCGGTATCGACCAAGAATGAAAGGTTTGTTCTACGGTCACGAACGAACAGGCGACGTGAAAACTTGAGGCAAAGAAATAAGTCGCCTCTATTCTTTGCTGGTTTCGTTTCCCTGCCATGAACAAGGTTTTGTACATTTGTCATCTCTACCACTTTTTCCCAAAACGTCTATGATACCAGCAAAACAGAATAATCTCTCCTTTGGAATTGCTTCTTTCCTTATTGCGATCTCCGCGATTTGGCGAGCGACCACGAGAAAAGAGAAATGCGATCAATACGTTTGTTTAATTTTTCTATTTGTTTAAATAATTTATCCTCAAGAGACTGATCGACTGTGCGAGAAACGGCACAAGTCCCTGGGGTTGGATTTACTTCTAAAATTCTGTCGGCAATTTCTGCAGCTTTATCTACAGTTAAATTGGACACCGCTGCCAAAATAGACTGAACAGTCGAAGGCAAACGTTGAAGGAATAATTCTAACATTAAGTTATCAGGAACATTTAAAGATTCTGCTCGACGTTTCATATTTCTAAGCAAATCGGAAGGTTTTCGAGAGCCTAATTCCTCTCCAGATAATAATTGGCGAATTTCTTGCTGAGAAGATTCTCCTGCACGATTTATTAACTCAGTTTTAAGCTTTGTATATGGATCAATAGGATCTGGTTTCATAAGTAAATCCCGTACTAGTGATGCGATATCTGGAGGAAGATGAGAAACTACATAATTATATTTAGTAATGGATTCTGTGATAGGTTTGGGGTGGCAAGAGCAAAAGTACTTTCACACACTATAAACCATAAAAGATGGGTCTCTGATCGGTTATAAACCGGAATTTGGACGGCATAAACATGACATTGTGCAAGGTTTTTAAGCCAAAATTTTAAAACTAAGAAAATTAAAAAAATTAAATGATAAGTAGAAAACAGAATTATAAAATGATCTATAATTACTACTCATCTGTGATTCCGGAGGATGAAAACCGATGTAATATCCTTACTTCTGGTTTGGAGATCTTGAGTGATGGCTTGGCTTTGTAGTCAAAACCGAAAGTGCTTGAGAACTGTTCATACGATTCGATTTAACACAGTCCAGGTTACCATTATGGTGATTTCCTGTTATGTTTTTACCACCAATCCTCGAATTCCATATCACAGATTATGTTCTTACTGCATTAATATAATATTAACAAGACATAGTGCACAATAAAAATTAAACTTTATTTAGGAACATCGCGCATACTCCCCGACAGCCTGCCTGTTTCGCTCTGCTCGCTACTCGTAAGAAACTTCTCCTCTAGGGTTGCCACACTTATCGGAGGGCGCAAGGCGCGCTCCTTATCGCCATCACCACAATGGCATCAGGCATCACTAGATTCACATACCGTTCACCTCTAATCCGCATACCCTAACGTTGACAAACCAAGTTATATTATTCAGATTTCAATGCTCACGGCTATGCGATATTTTCGGAATCTCCGTCGCCCCACTAAAGAATATGTACTATATGCGTTTCAGTTCTTCACCGATGTTGTTTCGGTGGTAACACCTCAATGCACAATATTTTCGACTCTTGCCTTGGCGATCTCTTTTCATTTCTAAACGTGTCCAAGACAAGAAAGACAACAGAGTGAGAGAGACAGAATGTCAGGACAACATCCGCCAGCCAATACGACAGATGAACTCTGGTGGAGAATTAAAGCCACATGGCAAATAAAGAATATAAAAATTCACACACAAATACCAGAGAGAAATCCCAGGCAGTACTTGAATTCTGATCGGGAAAAAAATAATAATAATGTACTTTTTTTCTACTTTCTGTACAGAAGGTAGATAAAAGGTACAAAATTTCCATGCAAAGTCTGTTCGACTCCATGCCTAGCTATGTGACAGCTGCTATTGTTGCTAAAAACAGGTGCTCGGGTTACTGATTTTTGCACTTCAAAATCATCTGAAACTTTAATCATTTCATTCTTCCATCAAAATGCATTTGCAAAACAAATATGATTCTGCTAGGTGCTTCCTTTCATGGCGTAGCAATTTTAATGGCTAGCTGTGCATTTTGCATCGAAACATTATCCTAAACGAGCAAAAAATGGCAAGCATATCAGTCTCGTATAAGTAAATTACGTCAGGTAAAATATTCGTATTTTTACTATTCGAAATTTGTAACACGTTTTATATAACTGTTTATCTGACGTCAAAGACACATTTAAAAACATTTGCATTAGAAAATTTATATACGTAGCTGTCTAAAACGATATTTATATAAAATGACTAAAAATTATACTTAATGATATCTCGGATAATTTTGATCGCACGAAATTTGATCCGCATTTTTTTGTTGGGGGAGACTGCTCTAAAAATTGGCTAAATTGGCTTTAAAAAAACACGTTTCTTATTTTTCCATACATTCCCGCGTATAAATCACAGAAATTCCCATATGCCCAACATTGCCATAATCTAAAGGCTTGCTTTATACGATTAATATTTTAAGCCTGAATTAGATAACTAAAATAAATTGTTTAAGATTATAAGGTATTTTCTCCCTCCTTTCTGCATGCCTTCGTGGTGTAATGGTAGCCCAATCAGCGCGTATTCAAGAGGTCCAGCTTCGAGTCCCAAAGAGGGCATTGCTCATTTTTCATTTCTATAGCATTCAAAAATAACAAATGTCTCTATAAGATATGCCATTTTTCAATAAACCTAATATGCCTAAATATGCCATTTTTCAATACATTAGTTGAAGAGTTTATCAAAAATTTCGAAGATAAATCGTGTGGGAATTGATAGCTGCATCATTCAAAAAAAAAATCAATAGAACTTTAAAAATTTAAAATACAGATCAATGTAAAAGATTTAAATACATTGTAGACATACCAATTGCACTCTTTTCTGAATATTTGGAGTAGGAGGTCCACTATCTGACTGAAAAGAAATATATTTCAATTAATTCCAGACAAAAAATTTGTTTTAACATATAACTTATACAATGCTTCAAATGTAAATAATTGAAATAACTAAAACACAATTATCACAGAACTTGGATGTCTGTATGAAACATCTAATAAAATTTCTACAAAATAACATCCCTCCAAAAATAACTTTTTTTTGACAGAAATTTTTTACCTTCTCACTTGGATTTGCATCTTGCAAAGTCAAAGCTTTCCGAAATATTGCTTCAAAAGCAGCTCGTAATCTGGAGTCTGAAATTGAATTGTATTAATAAATGAAACAAATAACAGAGATTTTTTGTACTAAATAATTCTTTTTAGTAAATATGACTTAAGTTCTTTCTCTACATTTTGTAAAATATTGCGGTTTAATTTGAATATTAATGTTAGTAAATTGTATACATTACTATTGCTTTATTAGAAAACAGGAATTTATTTAATTTAAATTTGCATTTTGTAGTGTTATTTCATATGAAAGGAAGGCGGCTATTTAGAGGAGGCGTTCAGAATTTTCGGATGAACTATAATAAATAATTAAAAATGGTTCATCAGCTAATTTTGGATGAACAGAAACACAGTGGCTTTCCTAAGAAATGAAATTCAACTGAGATCTGATCTACCTCCTCTTCATAACGTTGAATCTTTTAATTGCATTATTTTTCCTTTCCTTTTTTATGTATTTCTATTGCTTCCAAATTTTTTTCTAATTTTTTCCAAATCTTTTTCTAATTTAAAAACACTGAGTTTTTACGTTTTTATTGGGGAATTTTGAGATAGCACTGGTTTTAAATTTAATTTCTTTCATGTTTTTGTGGAGTTGGTTCAGAATTTATTACTTTTTTAGTCTATAATTAATTTTTCAGCAGCAATTTGCGCTGAAATGGTTTTGAGATATTTTTGTTGTAAAAACTTTTCTATAATACTATATGTATGTAAGATAAACAATATGTGAATCAAAATCATAATTTAAACTAACGGTAAAACTTAATTCTCCCTCTCTGTTCTTAAAATCGTAATAACTTCTCTGGTCATTTCTAAATCATTCCATTTTGCATGGGCTGCGCAGGGCTGATGATGTAATAATTGGGAACTGAAACTTTTAAGTCAAACCAAAACTTTTCTCCTCGTGTGCTTCCATATTGCATAACTACGCACTTCAGCTTCGCTCTCTATCCTGCTAGGATGTGATTTCGTTGCCTTGCTTGCTATCGCAATAATATCAAAAATGTAAATGTTCTGTGAATAGGCACGATTAGAGTGCCAAGCGATTGTGGCCACAAAAGTTAGTTGCAAATAAAAATGCAATTAAAACCGTATCGACTGCTACGTTTTTTACATATTTTGAACATAACATATTAGCATACTACGCAATCAGAATTCTTCCTCATCAATATGAATCTACGATCTATCCTATATAGCTATTACGCATCAACACTGCTCCGTAGGTTCCTTGCTATTATTACAATTATATATATATATAGAGAGAGAGAGACTCAAGTGCAGCAAATGTAGCACGGATCACATTTAATAAACCAAAAACTCATTGAATATAAGATTATACGCAACCAGGACCAGCGAAAGGCTGTCCGCAACCCGGTACAATCTCTCCTATTCCTAGATTCTGCCCTCCTAAAGGCTCTAAATTTTGCTGCCTCCGAAAAATCTGTCTCCCACTGCAGCTGCATCGGCTCGGGTGCAAGCACTGTAAGCTATATATATCACTTATATATCCATAAGTAGTAAGATACAATAAAATACCACTGAGAAGAAATTTTTCAGCAATGAGAAATTTCGAATTAAACTATTTTGCTCACCAAGGCATTGATAGTATAAAAATCAACATTTGCTTTATTACATTTTACTTTAAAGAAAGATGTAAAAATTATTTTATGGAATGTCAAGCGACTATTTATCTTTATCTACATAACAGACGCACTTTAATTATAAAGTTTACAATAAATCAAGCTTCATTACGTTATTCAAATTTAGAAGTAACAGTCCCAACAGCAGAGGAAGCATTAGTAAGTTTAACAAAACTCAGGAGAATCCCCCTAAAAAGAATTAATAAAAATAACAATTTTACTTTGACAGAAAAGTTTGAACAGTGATAAGAACACTAAATAAGTAAAAATTTCATACTCATTTTAAGAAAAAGAAAATATACTGTTGTGTTATTTCCGGCTCAAGTAGCAGAAGCCCATTAGTGCATGATATTCGCCACCTGTTGTTGAAAATTTTATACTCCTAACCGTCATATTCTATGCTGAGTTCCAGCCCACAAGGGTATCACCAGAAATGAACTAGCTGACGATCTGGTGAAGCAGGCAGCAAACAACGTCCAAAATGAAGTGATTTGAACTTTCCAGCATCATATCTCAAGCGGACCACTTAGGAGCACATGCTCAAAAAGTGGCAGAAGAGATGACTCACAACTACCATGGGTCGCAGTGCATTCCTCTTTCCAAAAGCAGCAACAGAGTTACGTGGCAACTCCGCTTTACCGACATAATACTTCTCTGAATATGGTTCATTCCCAGCATATCTGTACAGCTTCCGGCGCAGTCTCACAGACTTTTGCGTGTGTGGTAGGGAAGGAAAAGCGGACTATTATGTATTTGACAGCTCACAGACCTCAGAATACCACCTTATAAAACCAGCTTTCACAAACTTGTCAGTGTAGGCCACTAACATTAGCAGCACCAGATCTGCACAAAGTAAATTTGCCTCAGTCATTACATATTGTGCCACTACCTTACTCAGCCATATCAAGTCATATGCAGCCTGCCTCAGACACTTCCAAAATGTAAGTTTCCTGCAGCAATAAGAATACAGCAGCACACTTTCCCCATACTTAATGGTGTTGATTTAACTCTATGCATAATTCAGTATTAAGATCTATATTTCCAATTTGATTATTTGTTTATCAACTGCTCATATTTTTAAATGATATGTCCTGCATAAGCTTATCCCTAGCTGCAATTTAATTTTGTGCCTACAACGCCGTTATAGTTTTGCCTCTCCCCGATTTCTCAAAGTGACTCGCGTGCTCAAGACTTCTGCAAATCATAGTGTACTGCCATCTTTTAATAAGTTCCAAGCTACATTTGGTCAGTTAATCAGTACCTATCTCATTGTCATAGCCATAGTATCTTCTGACGAGCTAGCATCTAAACTCCGTACGGCTAACATCCCGGTCGGAGACTAACTCGAACGTCCACCAGTGCTCATTATTTATATTTTGATGATAATGTGCACTTTACATAACATGCACTGTCCTCATTTTTGTATTGTGTGTATATTAGAATATTAACAACAAATGTACCGTCGCTTATTAAACTCAGAATGGCAAAAGATTGATTCTTCAGTGTCAGAATATCCTACTTCTACCTATCAAAGCTTTCGCAGTTCATCCATTTAATATATTGTGGACTGTGGTTTTATCATTCAGATACGTTGTGCTTTAACAAAATGCCAGTTTGACCGAAATTTTCCTATCCTGGTCCCTGTGCCTGTGAGAAACTGTTTACAAAGTTTTTTTATCTACACTAGATTTCAAAGAAGCAGAATTTCCATATCTTAACGTTAACAAAAATAAACATCTAGAGGCATTGTAAATCAGAGAGAGAGATAGAGTTCCTTCTTAAATTCTAGCTCATGGGATGTGAAAGTGGATCTTTTAAGTTTTCCACATTCAAAATATTTGGGAACTCTCTGTGAAACTTTAAGAAATCTCTGTGGAATTATAAAAAAAGTTCATGAAATACATCTAAGCATTACTATACATTAAGAGTCTTTGAATGGAAAGCTTGTGGCGACTACGGATGGAAGAAAAAAAAACAAGTACGCCATTGGTCATGTTTGTAAACGTAAAGTAGCAGAACAACTAAACAAAAGTCAATCTTTCTGTTGTCTAGAAACGTTACGTTTGAATAAATCACTGGAAGAGATTTTTTTTAATTTCCTCTGTGCTTTTTACTTGTAACATGTTGAAATGCCAAGTGAAAAGGCTTAAGCCTGATAGAAATGGTCAAATTGTTGAACGATTTGAATGTTCTTGGTAACTGAAGCCAGAGAAAAACTACATTTAAATTGGGAATTTCGCGATCAGCACTGTTCAGTTTACTTAAATAAGGAATCATAATTAATGAAAAAATAAAAAAATTGCGAATGTCTCAAGAAAGCACCAAAGGGAAAAAAAAACAGAAACTCATGAGATGTTGAAATTACTCTTCTAGTACATTTTGAAGTTATAAAGCTAAAAAAAATTTCTATTTATAGAACTTTCTCCAATAATTCGCTAAATGCTAGGACAGAATTTTACATCAGCTGACATATGACTTACCAAACAGAGAAAGAGAAATCTAACATTGTTCATCAGAAATTACAAGGTGAAAAGGAAGAAGTGGATCATCATGCAGCTGATAACTGCATAAAAGACATTTTATGAAAAGTCACAAGAAATTTATAATACAGACGAACGTGGACTGCATTACACAGCACTACTAGAACACACATTAATAAGTAATAACTGTGCAGAACGCATAGCTCTGATCTCTTTCTAAAAATATTTATGTCTTTTTCCGCAGATGCAGTTTCTAGCATTCATTCTTGAGACCAGGATATTATAAACGCTTTCAAATATGATTTCAAAAGAAATGTCTAAAAAATTATAAACAGAATCAAATTTTATGAAGACGCAAGCCCTTCAAAGGAGATAAGGATGCAAGTTGATATCTCTGCTAGAAGTCATGCATAATTAGTCGATACAGGTGGTCAATCAGTTAAAACAGAATTAAAAATTGTTTTTGAAAATGTGGCTTTTATGAAAAGAAGTCTCACAAGAATCGCAACCTATAGCTAATGTTTCAGATATCAGTGAGGGAAGTTCTGAGGATTCATTTTTAGAGGATTTGTCAGTTCCCAAGAATATTCAGACAATGTGTAGAAAAACCGACTAATAAAGGGTTAAAAGAACATCAGAAACTGACAGCAAAAAATGACACAGAGAAAAGTGATGACATGGCATCATCAATCGAATCTAGAAACGCACTGTAAATCTTAAGAACAATTCTTTTACTGAAAGTTGCTGATTAGAAAGCTATCAGCAGTTTTAGAAAACTGAGAATACAACTGAAAAACTGTTGTTGACAATATGAAACAAGTATAGATAGAATAGTTGTTTTTAAAAAATAAAATTTCATCAAAAATATAATTACAAAAATAGTTAAAATTCTTTTTAATTAATTTCAAAATAGCGTAAATAAACTGATATGGTTTGCAATATACAAATCGCCATCTATTAAACTCATCCGGCTAATTAACTCATACATGTTTGGAATGGAAGCGATTTTAATAAGTGCCATGTACTGTATTACAAACTTCAGGCAAACACAAACATCAGTTTCAGCAAGATAAAATGTATGTAACATTTTTAGCAATTCGACTAGCCAGGTTATTGAAATAAGTGACCTCCACTTTGACGCTTTTCATCCAATTTAATCTGTGCTACAAAATACCCATCTACACGGCCTGGACTCTGAAAACTGCTAAATACAACACATACAATATCAAGCCAACACATGGATTTCCCATTTCACACCCTGAATTATTTAAAACTTATCAACAACAGCAGAGTTTGACGTTCGAATTTTCAATGACTTTAGAGGCACTGATTTTAAAATCAGAGAATTATAGGACATAAATGGGGCATACAGTCAAAAGTCGTTAATTCAGACACCCATAATCCGGACCTCAAAGCTACAAACTTTCTGCGCATGCGCGTAAGACCTTTACGGCTGCGAATATGCGCGTGCGCAAAATACGTTTACGAATGCGCGTTTAATGTATAACGGACGGTATAAGCTAAGCTAAAATTATCTAATTCAGTTAATGTTGCAGATTGCGTTGTTCCTTAATCTTCGAATTGGATTCGGCTTATTATATTTTGCAGACTGTTAGAGCAATTTTATAAAAGTAAGCTTGAACTTTCGATTATGTCAAATAGAATTTCTGATATATATTTACTAATATGTAAAGGATCTACAAAGCGAAAGTATGTTTCGAAGTCCATTAAACAAAAAGTGGAATTGCTGCAAAAACGGATAAAGGCATATCCTTTGTTTATCTAAACTTTAACGTTTGTTTATCTAAACTTTGTTTATCAATTTCACGCCGCGGCGCGCAATGAATTGGAAGTTGATCTGTCAGCACTATCCTTATCTTCAGGGCAAATGTTTTTATTTTATTTGGCTTATAATTCCTTACTAAATGTAGTATTTCATCTGGATGTACTCCGTCTTTGATATGATTTAAATCAAATTCCTCGTCATTATAATTCGCTTCCGATTGCGAAGAAAGTGACAGTGGTTATTGAAAACGAAAAAATTTCGATTGACAAATTAGTCGATATTCTCGACACAGCAATTATAGGACTTGAACAGCGGAACTTTGTAACTGCACAAGAAATTATGTCTGTTTATAGAATTAAAAGGATATTTTATCACATAAAAAATGAAGCAACTTAAACAACTTACATTGAATGAAATGTTTAATAAAGTAAACAAATAAAATATAAGCTTTTTTTTTTTTTTTTTTTTTTTTTTTTTTTTTTTTTTTTTTTTTGTAAATTTTGATACCCTTTAGATCATAATTTTTCTTTATTTCATAAATTACGGTTTCATATTTTTAATTTTATAATTTTTGCATGTCATCTTACCAGATTTAAACTGATGATCTATAATCCGGAAAAATCGATAATCCGGAATCGCCGAAGTCCCGACGAGTCCGGATTAACAACTTTTGACTGTATATCACAGTTCAAAACAGAATAAATTATTGGTGGTTTCTGGCTGGTGTATCAGTTGCGAAGACAGTAAGTCTTTCTGATGTATAGAGAGCCACAGTATCAGGCTCATGTCTATTCTGTGGAACTATACTGTCAAAAGTGGAACTTCATCCAGCCAGGAGAAAGAAATTATCCGAAAAAATTTTAATGCATTGCATTTAAAATTAATAAAAAATAATTATTCACATATAGTAAAATACTACAGCAGAATCACCCATTTCTACATAAACTACCTTTCATCAACTTCACATGGTTAATATTCAAAGTAAGGCAACTAATTATAGCATAGCTGTTGACAATCAGGGTCCATTAAATTCTGATTTTTGTACCGTTATGAGCACAAAACTTAGGCAGCATACAGTACAAAATGTGTAGTGTTCAGTGATGAGCCATCTTCATCATCTTTCCCAATTCTAGAAATCGTTATGTGTGAAAAGCCTTTTCTACATGCACATGATCTAGACTGTCTCATACCCAAAAAAGGAGAATGGAGGCGGAATGTTGACAGTTTTGGCCATAGTGAAGATCTCCCAGAGCACTGATAGTTCGTGATGGTCACATGACTGCTAAGGACTATCCATGAATTGGGTTCACATGATTGTTCAAATTTCGTATTCTGAAAGACAGCTGTGCATCAGGATGACAATGCACCTATTCACCCTGCAAAAGTGGTGACATAGTGGTTTGAAGAATATGAACGTCATCTTGAGCATCTTTCACATCCTACAAAATCCCCTGATCTCAATACCATTGGTTCTCTTTAGCAGATGCTAGAAGACAGACCTAGAAAACGTTTCTGCCCTCTATCATTACAAAGAGAAATCGCCACTGTTTTGCAAGAGGAATGGCTAAAAAATACGATTAGTCATTGAACAAAATTTGTAATAGCCATTTCCAAGGAAAATCGCTGGAAAAATAAGCCTCCAAAAGAGGGCCAATACTGTAACAATAAAACTTACATACTGCTGCTTTGAATGGTGTAGTGGTTAGCAGAGGCGAACTACTTGTACTTCAGTTTTCTGCAAACATTTTTATGTTTTAATTTCTCACAAGTTTTTCATCCAGATTAGCAACTTATTCAGTTTACCTTTGTTTTGCACTGTTTTTAATTCTTAAATTGTTGCATATAGAATTATATCTGTCAAGAAATATTTATTCCTGTTTGTAAACCTCACTGAATCAAATAAGAATAGAAATAAAATTATTTTAGCTAATCCTCGACGTTTTAACTCTCAGCATTTCTTCCTGAAAAAGATTATTAAACAAATAATTATATTACCAAATACTAAAAATATTTCTCTTAATGATTTATGATCATGAATTACACTGATGTAGCAAGAATTAGAAAAGTATTTTAATAATCACAACCGATTTTAACTTTAAAATTTTCTTAGAAGACCATACTAATTTTTAACTAATAGTAGAATAAGTTTTGATTACGTATCTTAATAGAGAGTAAGAATTTGAAAACAGTGTATTAATTTTTGCCACATGCAACAACTTAATATGCAGACAAAGGGAAAAACTGAAAAAACACAAACAAAGCAACGTCCAAAACCTACAATAAAGAAAAATCTCTATTATTTAAATCCTAACAATAATATTATAGCAATTAAAACAGAGGACAATAATAACAGCAGAATATTTTTTCAGACTTTGAAATTCCCAAAGTGTAAATTACATGCTTGTATGATGTTATTGTTATACAGTATTATATGTCTGCTTTGTTGTTTTTACCACGATATTTTAAACAATGATGTTTTAAAACTACAAAATTTTGTCGTCACTTTCTTTTTACCATAATATTTTGTATAGAAGTGTTTGGAACTGTAAGGATTTGTCACTGTACACTTTTTAGAAAGATATTTTGTAGGACAATATATCTCCTCACATTGATCTTTCTACAACAATTTCTTTCTCACGATGTTTTATCATGATCATTTCACAAGATATTAGAAAGTCCTTACCATGTGCAATACTAGATGTGATGGTTGAATAAGGAGAATGCATAGGAGAGTGCTTTAAAATAGACTTTTTTGGAGATGTAGGAGTCATTGGAGGAGATGGTGGAGGTGAGCCTCTTGATGAAGACTAAAACATAATCATACAAAAAATTTTACTCACGGTTTTTCAAGGAAAAAAAAATTCCATCTGATATATTATTAATAGAGTAATCAATTAGATTAACATACTTAATTATGTAAATACATTAAGTTAACAAGAAAAATATGCAGAACTAAAAAGGCAAATTTAACCTTTTAACTGTCATGCCCGAGATAATCTCGGGTACAGCACTGGTGTTCGAAAATGTCACGCCCGAGTATTACTCGGGGTAATTTTTTTTGAGTGCATCGTATTGTTATACCCGAATGGCAGGAGCAATTGACGACCGGTGCTGCCTGGTGACGTATCCAGGCGGTGCGCGGCTCTGCTAGAGGGTAATAGTGGAGGTTGAACCTCCACGACGTGCCCGAAGGCAGAGTCGACCTGTAGTGAGCTAGTTCTCGGAACGGGGAAGCCCAAAACCTGTTATACCCAAATATATATCGGGAGACGTTTATTTCGGTTTCATCTTTTTGTCAAACCCGACTGTATCTCGGAAAAATTTGACAATTTGTGTACCTAAATCATCAAAATAACTTGACAGTTAAAGGGTTAATAAAAAGGAACTGAAAAAGCAATTTGGGTTTGGTACAAATAACACCCAATTCTTACCCTTCCATGCCCAGCAACAGGAATCACTTCAAACCTGGACATCCTTCTCTCTTGTTCTTGTGCAGCTTTATACGTTCCTTCATCTACAGATTGTCTTCTGGCCACTTCTTCCAATCTGCGTTCCCGACCTAAATGCCTTTCCAATAAACGCATAAGTTCTATTCTTTGAACAGAACCCAGTAATATCATTGATTCTAAGAAAATGCAGAACAATACAAATAAATATTATTTTAATATTAATTCTCTCTATTTGTGAATGCTTATGTGAAATTGCAATCATTCTCACTCTACAAATACACATATAAAAATAAATGATTGATATACAATGGTACATAATAAGTCGTACCTGACAAAATAGTCTAAGATTCATATTTTTAAATAATTTTAGAGTACATAAATTTCAAATATTTTAAAAATTTATTTATAATTAAAAAAATAACAAAAGCACAGAACTGATTGTTGAAAGTAAGAATAAATAGCTTCAAATAAAACAATATAAATTTTGGATGAAATAGTTTTAATTAATAATAAATTTTGGAACTTCGTAGTGCATAATCTCAATAAATGCATTTTAACATAAATTTTTGTAACTCTCATAGATATGACTTTTCCTAAGTAACCCTAATATAGCAATATTTCCAAAAAATAATTATACTTTTAATAACTATTTAGTTCACACAATGTAAATAATTTAGAAATGAATTATTTAAAAGTGTCGTGCATGTGCTTTAGCAAAGTAAAGAGAACAATGCAATACCTGAAGATTCTACCAATGGGAATGACTGCAATCGTTTGTTGCCTTTCAAAACTGCTTTAATTTCTCTATATGTAGCACCTTCTGATATATATATTATCTCACGTACCATAATATCATCTACGTAAATGTTGTAAGCCCTGAGGTATAATAAGAGTATATTAAATCACTTAATATTACGGCAATGCAATAAACTAAAAAGAATAACCACAATAAATTCATTCTCAGTTTTTTGGTCTGTGTATCTATTTATAGAAACACAGACACTAAAAGAAAGTATCAAAAATTAATTTCAACTATATTTAAGTAGTTAGCTGCTGTTAAAGAAACAGATTCCTAAGTATTAAAAACCACTTACTGAGATGAAGTGGAAATAATGGAAGGTAGATATGGAAGTTTTTTAATTTGTATTATGCTATCATATATGGATGGCTGAAGAGACTGAGCAATGGCATTTGCAATCAGAACCGCAATCTAAAAGAAAGAGGAAAAAATCCTGAATCTCAAGAAATTAAAATCTAGAACTAAAAATTTTTGAAACATAACATATGTATCAAATTTCATGCCAAAATAAAAATATTTTATGATAAATTATATATTTATTAAAACAAAAAAATTTACATATTACCAAAAAAAAGAGAGAAATTAAATCAAATATTATTCCATCCCCAAATAATATATTCAAAACACCATCTAATTGTTCTACATTTTTGTTTTTTTCCTGCAACTTATTTCTGTATAAAAAATTGTTCCTTCATTGTTTCTGAAAGACTTTATAGTGTATAAAACAAACTGCAAATTTAAAACATGACAAATATCTGACAGATTTCTGGCTAGGAATCAATGCAACTACCATATACCAGTATAAAAGGTCACACATATAAGACAACTCTTGATTTTTGGAAGTATTTTATGGGGGGAAATAGGGTTTCATATAAGATGGCCTTGCATGTATCCAGTTGCCTAAAAGTAATCAGCTATTTATATGAACATGCAGACAGCATTACCAATTCAAGACATATACTCATGTTATCTACTCTGCACTCTTTCCCACTTAAAAACATGCACACACATAACACACACATTTATAATATGTATTATGCAGCACTGTATTAGCTTTTAATCTATATGGTTATAAATCTGTCAGATTTATCTATATGTACTCATATGCAAGTCACTGTCATTTTAAACTGTACATATGTTGCTACATCTAAAAGTTTTTGCCTAATATAATTCTAAAAAATAGGGAAAACTTTAATAATTTATTCTGTATTATGGTCTCTTTTTACCTCGATACATATTTCCTAGTATTTAATGAGCAGCTCTGGGCCCCTGAAAAAGTAATCTGAAGGTTTGCCCTCAAAATATTTTATAACTGCAATTTCAAGCCATCATCATCATTAAATCTGTTTCCATGAAGGTCACATTTGAGTTTGGAGAATAGATGATAACTACTTGGAGCTAAATCTATGCTATAAAGGGAAATGGTCAGGCTCCTTAAATCTGCATTCTTGTTTTTGATTTATATTGACACATTTTTGTTTTTGAACTGTGGAAAGAAGTTGGGGTAACTTTCTTGCAGAAAATTTATTTGCGTGAAGATATCGATGTAGACTGTGTAAAACAATCCACAGATTCAACCTTGTTATTATCTTCTTGACTTTTAATTTCAAATCACAGAATATTTCCTCCTGGATGCAAGCATTATTTTCTGATTTCAATGCCTACCATAATCCACTTTTATAAGACTTATACTCCGGGGATTCTCAATCTATGTGAAATTGTTCACCCATTCATTCAGGGTAGAGTAGGAAGGAGACAAACATGCAATACAAACATTGCTTTATCTTTTTAGAACTGAGATCTTCTTTAGTCAAAAATTTATTCATATAATGATACTCAGTTTTAAGCATTTCATAAAAACTAGCACATCACTTCGTTCACTAAATAGTCAAACAAACAAAAAAAAAAAAAAAAAAAAGAGAGAGAGAGAGAGAGAACGTAGACAATTTCACTAATAAAATTTTCAAACTTAATTGTTTAGTGCTGCAATTATATATGTTCAAAAGGACTTTATTGTCAAACATATTTTCATGCATGAGAGTGGAAACTTACATTTAGCTATGAATATAACTTAGCAGACTTGTATTTCTAAAACTATCAGCAATTTGTATATTGTATAGTTTTGCAGTGCATATGTACTTAATATATCATAATAACTAATGCACTGTTGAAATTTTTTTATTACAAGACAAGGCCAGTTAAAAGTGCTTTAGGGAGCTCCACACTGGTTCTTTTCTAAAATTCTACCATGGAGTATCTGTTAAAATTCGTTTTTACTGTCTGTTCTAACTATCATGAAACTTATCACTTTCAGTCATTTTATTTTTTGAAGCCAAAAATTATAGATTTTTATTCAGTATTTCTCATTAAGTAACAACTTTCAAAATGGCTTCCATTACAAACATATTAGAATACAGTAATACACTTGCCCAAAATTAATTAAAATGCATGCTAATTTCAGTGAAAGAAAAAAATATATGGCATATTTTTCACTCATTTCAGAATTACAGCACATTTACTAATTTCCCTACTGCACTTTTAGAGTTTTCTGTTTACTATAAAATTCTTAAGGTAGTAAATAACACTGAACACATCAGAGCAATCACTTACCTACCCACTTTCTTGTTCATCAAAAACATGAGAGTAGTGTCTACTATAGCTTTGAAGGAATTTATTCATAGAAATTAATTCATTTTCTCCCTTAATATGGGCTTTTTGCCACCTTTACTCAGAAAGTGCCTTTTGGTAAGTTCTGCATATCATAAATTTCTCTAAACTGAAGAACACCCACTAAATTTGTAATCAGTTTTTCTGTTTTTTTTTTTTTTTTCATAGGTATTTGTAAGCTTTACTGATATATCTAATTGCATGTCTTTCTCAAGTGCTTTATTAATACATTGACTTTAATAAGAATATTTTGCCTGATCACAGGATCGTGAAAATCAACACCATATACCGGGTGCAGAAAACCCAGCAATATGCCATCAAGAGGATTTTCTGTGAAGAAAATTATTGAATCAAGATGATGGGAAGGCCCACCTTGGTTGGCATTGCCGGGAGAAGAATGGCCTCGTTCTATCTCAATCGATAATGAAGAAGAGGTTAATGCTGAAAAACATAAAGCAGTTATGGTTTCGTTAAGCAATGTTAGCGATATGTCTTCACAATTCATTGGCAATTTTTCAAAGTATAAGAAAGTACTGAGAATTATTGAGTGGATAAACAGATTCGTAGGAAATACCCGAAAGAGGAAAGAGAAGCAGAAGAGCTAGAAGTTTATGAATTGACAAGAGCTGAGAAAGCTATCGTGAACATTATTCAACATGAATCTTTTTCATCTGATGATATTAAGAAGCTAAAGTCAATAAATGTGTTCAAAGATGGCGAAGGCGTTTTACATGTGACTAGAAGATGAAGGCATTTTGCACGCGACTACTGTGTTGTTTTTTTATATATGGTGGGTATGTGCCCAGTGATGATTACAAGATGTACACAAACATCGTTTATTCTACATTGCTCGTCTACTATTCTATATTACAGTTATGATTAAAGGTAATAATAGATACAGTTACAGTTACATATATAACATCTCCCTTTTTATAAAAAAATAATAATAGTAATAAAATTAAACATGTTTGACAATTCAGTACCAAATCTTCAATTTCTTTCGACATTCCTGGCCAATATAATATTTCTCTTGCTTTGATCATGCATTCTACTACTCCTAAATGACCATAATGAATTCTGCTTAGCATATCTTTTGATAAACTTCTAGGTATAACAACACAGGAATTTTTAAATATTAATCCATTTGCTTCTGATAATTCTTCTCTGAAGTTAAAATATGGTTTTGCCAGTTCTGAAACCATACATTTTTCATCTGGCCATCCAGTTTTAATTAATTTTCTTAAAACTTGTAGTTCTCCATCTTTTTCTGTTTCCAGTTGAAAAACTTCCATTTTGCCTTTAGACATTGGTATACATTCTACAATCAATCCAACATGAGCTTCTATGTCTCCTTCAAAGAAATCAGATCCTTTATCAGTGAATGATCTTGATAATGCATCCGCTATAAAAAGTCTTTTCCTGGTTTATATTTTATCTCAAACTGATATGGCTGTAATCTTATACACATTCTTTGTAATCTTACAGGGCATTTATTTAATGGCTTTTTGAAAATTAATTCCAGTGGTTTATGGTCACTTTCCACAGTAATATATTTTCCAAATATATACTGGTGAAATTTCTCACATGCAAATACAATAGCTAAAGTTTCCTTTTCAATTTGAGCATAATTCTTTTGTGTATCTGTTAATGCCTTAGATGCATATGCTACTGGTAAATTATTCTGCAGTAAGACTGCTCCTAATCCTTCTTGAGATGCATCTACAGATAAAACTACTGGCATCTTTATATCATAATACTGTTAAACTGGTTTATTTACTAAGACATCTTTTAATCTTCTAAATACTTTTTCATATGTTGCATTCCAGTTCAGATAACTTGTTTTCTTAAAAATTAATTCAATTCTGATGCATTAGGTATGAATCTAGAAACATATGTAATCATTCCTAAGAAAGTTTCTAATTCTTTCACATTTTTTGGTGGTTTTATATCTAGAATAGCCTTAATTTTGTCTTCATCTGGGTTTAAACCATATTTAGAAAATATATGTCCCATATATTTCACTTCATTCAGCCTAAATTTACATACATTTAAATTAAATTTAACATTCTTTTCTTTGGCTCTGCTCAACAACTTCTTTAATCTTGAATAATGTTCTTTTTTATCTTTACCCCTAACTAATAAGTCATCTAAAAATTTTAGAAAACCTTCTGTGGAAAACTTCTCGTGATGAACTCAGTCCATATGGCAACCTCAAAAAACAATATCTACCAAATGGAGTGTTAAATGTAGTAAATTCACAACTTGAATTTGACAGGCCAAAATGCTTTGTTTGCATCTAAAATACTAAAGACCTTTGCATTTGTCATTTGAGATGAAATTTCTTCAAAGGTTGGTATGTGATAATGTTCTCTCAGTATATTTTGGTTAAGGTGCTGAGGATCTAAACACACTCTTAAATTACCATTTTTTTCCTTATTATAACTAATGAATTCACAAATTCTACAGGTTGATTAACTTTCTTTTTATTTCTTTATAATACCATCTTTTTCTATTCTTGCCAATTCCTTTTTTAATCGATTTAATAAGCTAAGTGGAATTTTCCTACAGGGTTCTATTTTACCAACAGCTCCTGGTTTTAATTTAATATGATATGTATATCCAGTTAAATTCCCAGTTCCTTTAAACAAATTCTTGATATCCTTTTAAAGATTCTGGGTAACTTTTCATTGGAATCAGGATTTACTGTACAAATCCTTTGTATTAGGTTTAATTTTTGCAATGTA